AATCATCACAAGAATCCTATATTTCATTTTGGGAGATTTATCTCATAGAACTATAAGACACAGCCTAGACAGTTTAATGGGATACTTTTGGATTTTTTTAGAAAGGCTTTTTATGATAGCATAAGCTCCAGTGGGAGTGAGAAAAGAGAAAATCTAGGTTATACATCAGGGACTAACAAGTCTGTTGAAGAGACTTTAGGTGCAGAAGTGGCCTCAGAAGGTCTTTTGAACAATTAGAGAGCCTCAGCCATTTAATCTGTGTTAAATTAACCCACATTAGCCAACTGCCTGGAGACCTCCAGTTAACCAAGGCTCTTTTCCACATGCTCTTTATGACTAGAGATGTGTCAGGAAACCTCACATCCTCTCAGCTGGCCTCTGGGGACAAGACCTTTGGTATGATGGGCAGAACAACTTGCTTCAAAACTAGATGGCCTGGGTGAGAAACAGCAAAATCAGTACAACACAGAATAGAGCTGAAAATCCATTATACACTTTCAGGACCAAGTACCACCGAACACAAGCATGTGTTTGCTTGGTTTGGGGGTTTAGCATCTGTAAAACCTGTGATCCGTCCATTATAACTCAACACTAAATATGAACAAGGCCACTATGGCTTACTCAGGCAACTATAGCCAAGGGCATGCAGACAGCTAGTAGCACCCCAACCAGTTCCCCTCTATTCAGCCTTATTGTCTGCCTGAATATTCCCTCTCTCTTAACTTTCACCACACATCCATGATCACATCACTGGAAACTGGCAACAGAACAGTGATTCAACTCCAACCCAAGTACCCCAAAACCTAAAAACACTAAGAATTTCATCCAATTTTCCTCCAGCCCCAGCTCAGAAAAGTTGCCTTCCTCTAGCTCAGCATGATATGTGAACCTGGTTTGCATGTGAGGATACACAGGTGCATATGCAGAATTATTTTCTATGCTGTAGTGACCAGTTACATTGACCATGCAAAATATACACTGCATAGAAATAGAGAAATCTCCCCCCCAAGAGGGGGTAGCGAAAGTCATATAAAACCCCATACAGTACATGGGGGCATGATATAATGTAACATCTGTAGCTCTCTGCTCTGAGAGCTTACCGGAGAAAGGAGCAGGGTCAAGGAGAAGTTGACAGCTCTTTATTAATGACTTTTGTGTGCCTCCTTTCCAAGAAAAGGGGACCCCAAACAATAAGAGGGCAGAGGTTCTTATACTCTTTGGCGTTGACAGGTGGAAAATCTGAGGGATCTGATTCATGGGCAAGTTTTGGGGAAGTGAGATAGGTGTTAAACAGGGGAAAAGTGTTTTTCTGTTGTAAAACAAAAGTCGCGCCTCTGGGATAGACAGCGAGCTAAGGATTCCATTGCTAACAAGGAGTGGAATTTTGAGATATCGGGGTGCCCAAGCTTGATTATGTGGAATGCCTGCCGCCTCTCCCCTTGTTTTAACAAAGCATCCTCACTGGGGCTGCCCCCTAGATGAACCTTTAGGCAGGTGAGAGCTTTCTCATGGTGTTTGCTGCAGTACTGTTAAGAGGGTTATTTCAGCTGTGGAAACATGATCATTCTTGGGTCATGCAGTAGGCTGGGGTTGGTCCTATTTTATACGTATATGTGGGGGGGGGGCAGGAAACAGCAGAGGGCAATGGGGGAAAGAGTTTGCAACAGGAGAGACAGAGGGGAAGGGGCAGAAAGAGGGGCAGAGGGAGAGGGCCAAGAGTTTGTCACTTCATTGCATTATTTTTCCATCACAGTATATATCATTCGAAGGGCACCTGTACCATAGCAAATGTCATCACTGAAATAGGAGGTTCCCTGCATAACTCTTTGTTGTAGTTCCCTTGCACTTGGAGCTAGTCCAGTTTGCAAAAGGAACATGCTGTGTCAAAGTCTGGTGGACCTCCAAGGGGAATTCACAGATGCTCTGCAAGAATCAGGTCAAGAATAAAACAAGGCAGGGGGAAGAATTGGGCATGGGGTGGGAGATATTGTAGTAGGGAGCCTAGGGGAGGCATAAAAGAAAGCGTGGACATAAATAATCAAGAAACAGAAAGCAAGCTATCTTATAAATGGCAAGTCATCCCAGGAGGCAAGAAACTTGGAGAGAAGCATTACTCCAAGAGCTTAATGAATTGATGATAAATGAGGGTTGGAAATTCCTCTTGAACTTTCCAATATTCTGTTTTTAACCCCAGACCAGTATTAAAAATACCTTACTGAAGTCAGTACTCGATCATGCCTGGCTGTGTGTGGCTCGGTATAAGGTAGGTTGAAAGGGATATGGAATGAAAGGGCTGGAGCAAGTCTGCAAAATTAATATTTATTCAGACCAAAGTGTTCAGTTGGCTGCAGCTACAATGACACACTGAGCCAGCTACTAATTAACCCCATGTTAACAAAGATAAAATGAGAACCTAGCCTATGAGGTTAGTTTATGGATCAGTATCTCATGGGCAAAGCTAGAGAACTGGGCTGAGTAAACTACAGTTCAGTTCACTAAGGGTAAGTGTGTTGAGTGGACACAGTCATAATCAGCAGCTTAAGGACTAAGATTCCACCCCAATTTGAGGACAGCTTCAGGATGATTCCAGTCATGCAAGACAAAAAGGATTTGAAGAGCTGCTCCTTTGCTGCTGGCTGGAAAGAAAGGTCAACCCTGGTTTTGGAAACCAGCACACTGGCTTAGTTTTCAGTATGAAGAGAAAGCCAATGACATCAATGGAGAGAGACCAGAAAGACACCGAGCGCCAGTAAGCTCTCACTCTCTGATGGAATGGGAGATCAATAGGACCTGACAAAGCTGCAGCTGCAACCTCCAATGACGTCAAGGCACACTTGCCTCTTCTGAGACATGACGTCAACAAGAGATGAGTCATTCTAGATAGAGGGAAACAGGAACCTTCGGTGGTTCTATATTTAAACATTCAAAAAGAAGGAAATGTACCCTGGACCCTGAAATGTACCCTTCTTCCTCTCTGATACAGAAGAGTATGTTGTTGGAACATGGATGCTGCCCGCCCCCAACCCCCAGGTCTTTTACAGAGGAGATATGGAATAAATTATGATCACAAGCTCTGACAGTTCCATTCTACATAAATGCTCAACAGTAGTAGCATGGCATCATAAACAGCCCAGAATAGATCAAACCTCTAACAAGAAATTCTAGTCTTATTGGGCCAGGTTAGACTGATATTTGTTGAGTTCGTACACCAATCAGCAACCCCAGCAAATACTAACCACACTGTGCATTGGTGCAGCCTATCTGTGCAAAAAATGTAGAGTTGGCCTTGGGCATAAGGAAGGAAAGAATGAGCCACGAAGGGAGGACATGGTGAAAAGTTTAACAGTCCCAAGAAAGAGGGAAGCACAAGAAAGAAATCTAAAATAACCCTGCCTTGATTATGTTGAGTATAAAATGGGACAGAAAGTTGGACAGGCTTTCAAAGTTGTTATTCTACCTTATTATAATAAAGAACATTCCCAGATTCCTTGCCCTGCCTGTTTCTTCACTTGGCCTACCTTGAAGGGCTAACATTAAGCCATCGCTTGTGTAACTCTGGCATGAATAAATCACAACTGGAAAAGTCAGTATAACACTGAAGCACAAAGCAAGGTTTGCAAACCACAGTGACTGGGTTCACAAAACAAACCATAATACAATACAAACCAAACAATGTGTGAACCAGCCTAAACATTGTCAGTGGCAATATCTATTTGATTTATCTAGTAATGCTTAGGAGAAATGAACGTCCACTTTGGAAAACTTTCGAGAGAATTTTCAGCAACTAGCAATTATAACAGGAGCAATTTTGTCTGAGGAAGGCTCAAATTAAATAAGCCTCGATTGGACCACTTATGAATGTTCTTGCAGTTTATAAGATTATTAGGGGAATTCCATTGTTCATACTTTGCTTCCAGCTTTAGCTGAATAAGCCTATAAAGGAAGCAAGGCAGATTCTCTTCTTTTTGTTCTGCTCTTCTTCAAGGCGCTCAGAAAACCGTACAGTAGATGGTTCCCCGGACTCATTTTGCACCACTCCCACAGAGCAGGTTAAGCTGATCTGTAAGCCAGCTATTGCGTTTTTATAATGCATGGTTTTTAGTGTTGCGTGAACCCAGCCAGAAGAAAGCTTATTCTACAAGCCACAGTTAAGCAAACTAAGGCTTAGGGTAATGTGTAAACCCAGCAAAAGTGATTGGCCCAGAATCGTGCATAAAGCAGATAAAGATTTGGACCCGATTCTCCTGTAATCATCACAGGGTAACCTAGTGGAAAGCTCCACACTTAAAGAACAGAAGACCTCATCTAGGTAAAAGAAACTCAGCTGTAGAGTTCACACAACCAAAATGGCAAGAATGCATATGGAGTTAGAGATAGCTGTTAGTTATTCACACAAACTGAATTCACACGTCATGCTAAATCATGGTTTGAGTATAGTTTGCTGAAGAAGCCATAGTGGTCTGGTTCCTGCATACTCCAACATTTAGAAATCACAACAATCTCTAAAACAGACCATCTCTAGGGCAAAACCAAACAAGCCACATTAAGAGGATCAGGTATGTGAACCCAGCCACATATTTAACTTTTCACTTCTAGTGTAGCATGAACTGTTGGCTAGTCAAGGGGAAAAAGTTGTCAAAGTTGGGTAAAAAAAGCACTGTTGGGATATTTAAAAATATAAAAATAACTTTTAATTGTTCAAGCTTTTGCAATTGAAGAAGCAGTTACATTTCATGCTTTTTGGCAGTATCTAAACCAGTGTTTCCCAATCTTAGCAACTTTAAGATGTGTGGACTTCAAGTTCCAGAATTCCCATCAGGATGCTGGCTGGGGAATTCTGGGAAGTTGAAGTCCACACATCTTAAAGATGCCAAGATTGGAAAACACGGGTGTAAGCCTTTTCCACATAATAAATGTCATTGCATTACATCATATGAGTCAATGTCATTGTTAGATGTTACTCAAGCCCTCTCTGGTACATCAGTCCTCTATTATCAGGATTTTTTTTTTTTTTTTTGAGTATGAGGCCCATGCATCATTGTGATAATGGTCTCAGGTGATACCGCCCATCCAAAGATTAGCTACCTCAAGGAGAACTGAGTCTCCAAAATCCAGCATTTTGGCCATACCGAAGAGGAAGTGATTGATGGAAACTGAAAGAGTCTCTCACTCAGGAACTACCATTGAAATGAAAAGAAGCAAACCATGATAAAGAATTGAAAGGGTCTGCTAGATAACCCCTGACATTCAGTCAGTGTAATTTTGGGTTAGCTCTCTTTCAACTCTTTCAGACTTATCATATGATACATTGCTGGCAGATCCTACTTCTGCTGCAGCCTCCAGTTCCTCTAAGACCATATAAAAAAGGGATTGTTGAGAAGCTGTTGATCTTCTTCCATTCACTTTGACTCTTGGAGAAAAACAAATCTCAGCCATGGGCCCATTGGCCTTTGGCGTAGACATACAAATTCCATCTGGCTTGTTCAAGGCAGAAACATCTTTAAAATAACTCCCATCCAGGTCATCTATTAATTTATCCTCTTCCTCCTCATCATCCAAAACAATAAGTCTAATAGGTGTCTTTTTCTCCCACCCAAAACTCTCTCTACTATCCATCAAAGCATCACATCGGCTGTTGGAATTATCCATGACCACAGAGCCCTTTACACCTTTGCTAGTCTGGAGGCTTCTGTTGCCTCCATATTCTCCCCAAACAGATTCAGCTGCACAGCTACAGTGGCTATCCAACCTCAGCTGGAATCTTTCATTTTCTGTCTCTTCCAGTGACATGTCTTTTCCTGAGGTGGTTTGTGGTCCAACCTCAGAATCCTCCAAGGCAAGGCTGAAATTGACTGGATAGGAGAAAGTAGCAGGAGACTCCTTGCCCTGCACGGTTTCTCTCAATCCCGATTTCTGTAGTGCACTGCTTTCTGAAATTTTCTTAGCCATTGTCTCATGTGGTGCTATAGCATCTAATTCATTAATTTTGCAGGCATCTCCATGAAAGCTTGGAAGAGCATCAAGGAACATTTCAGTCTCAGTTTGGTGCATGTCATTATCAGAAGGATACACAACTGACTGCTGCAACAGTTTCATCTGGATATCTGTAAGCTCACTTCTTGCTTTTGGAGATGGATCGCAAGAGATCATTTTGGATTCAGAGTTGGTATTGCCTTCAATAGATAATGAAAAGGCTTGGGGAAAAGAGGATACAACATTTAGACTCTCATTTTGCTCATCTTTTTGCAATGTGGTTGGGTCATATTCTTTGTTCTTGGAATGCAGAACATCTGTATTAGTTATATGGAAAACCATTTGCTCATCATCTGTATCCTTGGCAGGTAGATCAAAGACTGCGTTGGATTCAGGACTGTAGTTCTCCTTGTTAGATACCGAGTGACTCTGAAAAGGGGACACAGGACCTATCCCTTGCTTTAGGTCACATCCTTGGAATCCTGGAAAGTGGTGTTCTTTTTCCTCGGAAGGCAAGACATCCACATTCCAAATAGTCTGAAGCATTTGTTGAAAGGCCTCATCTTCAATATTCAGACTGGTCATTTTAAAGCTAAGATTGGCCATATCACTAGCAAGATCACTGTCATTATTGCTTACAAGATCAGCAACTTCATTACTGATTACAGGATGAATAACTGCAGGTGGGGCATCCACAGGTCTTGGAGAAGGATTTGATGATTTCTTCTTTGAGGAAGTGGATGATTCCATGACTCTTGGGCTTGTTTCTTCAGATATGGATGGTACAAGAGTGTCACTTGGTGAAGACTCTAGTGGTTTGTTTGGCTGGGTGGATGACTCCGTATCTCTCAGCCATGCTCCTTCAGTCATGTTTCTGATATTTCCCATCAGCTGATCATTCAACTGTGATTCTAGTTGTACCAACTCTTGGGCTTTTTGCACTCTCCGTTCAATGTAGCTGTGGGCTTCTTCATTTTCAGCTTCATCATGTGCCATTTCTTTAAGCTCACTTCTTGCTTTTGGAGATGGATCGCAAGAGATCATTTTGGATTCAGAGTTGGTATTGCCTTCAATAGATAATGAAAAGGCTTGGGGAAATGAGGATACAACATTTAGACTCTCATTTTGCTCATCTTTTTGCAACGTGGTTGGGTCATATTCTTTGTTCTTGGAATGCAGAACATCTGTATTAGTTATATGGAAAACCATTTGCTCATCATCTGTATCCTTGGCAGGTAGATCAAAGACTGCGTTGGATTCAGGACTGTAGTTCTCCTTGTTAGATACCGAGTGACTCTGAAAAGGGGATACAGGACCTATCCCTTGCTTTAGGTCACATCCTTGGAATCCGGGAAAGTGGTGTTCTTTTTCCTCGGAAGGCAAGACATCCATATTCAAAATATTCTGAACTATTTGTTCAATGGCCTCAACTTCAGTAATCAGACTGGTCATTTTAGAGCTCAGATTGGCCGTATCACTAACAAGATCATTGTCATCATCGCTTACAAGATCAACAACTTCATTACTGATTACAGGACCAATAACTACAGGTGGGCCATCCCCAGGACCTGGAGAAGAATTTGGTGATTTCTTCTTTGAGGGAGTGGATGATTCCACGACTCTTGGGCTTGTTTCTTCAGATATGGATGGTACAAGAGTGTCACTTGGTGAAGACTTTAGTGGTTTGTTTGGCTGGGTGGATGACTCCGTATCTCTCAGCCATGCTCCTTCAGTCATGTTTCTGGTATTTCTCATCAGTTGATCATTCAACTGTGATTCTAGTTGTACCAACTCTTGGGCTTTTTGGACTCTGCATTCAATGTAGTTGTGGGCTTCTTCATTTTCAGCTTCATCATGTGCTATTTCATGTGTGTACATCAAATCATGATCAGAAATGCCAAATATCTCCAGCGAATGGATATATGCAATATGCTCATCCAACTGAGCATCTGTTTTTCTTTGGGTGGCGTGTAAGGACTGCAATTGCAGCTGTGTTGCTGAGCTTCGTGTGTCTTCTAAGATGAACAACTCTCTTATCTCTTGCATAGTGAAATAACGATAGGGATTTTTCTTGTCTCCTGTGCTTTGACGTATTAAGGAATCTTTGAAGACTTGTCTTCTATAGATCTTCTCTTCCACTGTCCCACAGGTAATCAACCGGTAGATTATGACATTCTCTTTTTGGCCGATCCTGTAAGCTCGGTCCAC